TCGTGACTACCCGGATGTGTTTCCCGAGGATTTGCCAGGGATACCTCCAGAGAGGCAGGTTGAGTTCAAGATCAACCTAGTTCCTGGTGCGGCTCCGATAGCCAAAGCACCGTATCGACTTGCTCCCCCTGAGATGCAGGAGTTGTCTACACAGCTTCAGGAGCTGTTAGACAAGGGTTTCATTCGGCCGAGCAGTTCGCCTTGGGGAGCGCCGATCTTATTTGTGAGGAAGAAGTATGGGTCGCATCGTATGTGCATTGATTATCGGGAGTTGAACAAAGTAACGGTGAAGAACCGTTACCCACTTCCGAGGATAGATGACTTGTTTGATCAGATTCAGGGAGCATCTTGGTTCTCCAAGATCGATCTACGCTTCGGTTATCATCAGATGAGGGTTAGAGATGAGGATGTACAGAAGACTACTTTCAGGACCCGGTATGGTCATTATGAGTTCGTGGTGATGCCATTTGGGCTCACCAATGCCCCAGCCGCGTTCATGGATCTCATGAACCGCGTGTGCAGACCGATGCTGGATCGGTCGGTGATAGTATTCATAGATGACATCTTGGTATATTCCAAGACACAGGGGCAGCACGAGGAGCACCTGCGTGAGGTGTTGGAGACTTTGAGGAGGGAGAGACTTTTCGCAAAGTTCTCCAAGTGTGAGTTCTGGTTGCGCGAGGTGCAGTTTCTTGGTCATCTCGTCAACCAGAAGGGTATTTTGGTAGATCCGGCCAAGATTGAGGCCGTGATGCAGTGGGAGGTCCCGAGGTCTCCATCTGAGATTCAGAGCTTCCTAGGGCTGGCAGGGTATTATCGGAGATTTATTCAGGACTTCTCCAAGATAGCAGTGCCGCTCACCCGACTAACCAAGAAGTCGGTGGTTTTTCGTTGGGGGCCTGAGCAGCAGGCGGCGTTCGAGACTCTCAGACAGAGATTGTGCGAGGCTCCGATCCTTACCTTGCCAGAGGGAGTAGAGGACTTCGTAGTCTATTGTGATGATTCGATCACAGGTATGGGAGCAGTATTGATGCAGCGAGGCCATGTGGTAGCTTATGCCTCGAGACAGTTGAAGCCTCACGAGGCTAATTATCCTACCCACGACTTGGAGCTGGGGGCAGTTGTATTTGCCCTCAAGATTTGGAGACATTACCTTTATGGGGTCCGCTGTACTATATACGCGGATCACAAGAGTTTGCGATATCTTATGGATCAGCCGAGTTTGAACATGAGGCAGAGGAGATGGTTGGACGTGCTGAAGGACTATGACTGTGAGATCCTTTATCATCCAGGGAAGGCCAATGTGGTGGCCGACGCCCTGAGCCGCAAGGTGTCGACGGCCCCTATCAGAGATCTGTGTATGAGGATGACAGTGATCACTCCGTTGTTGGAGCGGATCAAGGAGGCTCAGATGGAGGGCCTCAAGGAGGAGAGGCAGAAGTGTGAGAGGATAGTGGGCCGAGTAGCTTCATTTGATTACGACAGTCGGGGTTTGTTGACGCTTCATGGTAGGGTGTGGGTACCGTACTGGGTGGGGTACGGCAAGTATTGATGGACGAGGCTCATAAGTCTCGATTTTCTATCCACCCAGGAGCGACGAAGATGTATCGAGATCTTCGACCTGATTATTGGTGGCCCTGCATGAAGCGGGACGTCGCTTGGTATGTTGAGAGATGTTTGACCTGCCAGAAAGTCAAGGCAGAGCACCAGAGACCTCACGGCAAGATGCAGCCGTTAGACATTCCCGTGTGGAAATGGGAGGATATCACCATGGATTTTGTCACCAAACTCCCCAGGACCGCACGTGGAGTGGGCTCGATATGGGTAGTAGTGGATCGGTTGACGAAGAGTGCTCATTTTATTCCGATTCAGGAGAGTATATCGGTGGAAAAGTTAGCCGATATCTATGTGCGGGAGATTGTGGCACGTCATGGAGTGCCGGTATCGGTGGTGTCGGACCGAGATGTTCGTTTCACGTCCAGATTCTGGAAGCGGTTCCACGACGAGATGGGTACTCGTCTCCATTTCAGCACCACTTTCCACCCTCAGACTGACGGGCAGAGCGAGAGGACGATTCAGACTCTTGAGGACATGCTTAGGGCATGTGTTCTAGATTTTGGGGGCAGTTGGGATACGTATCTTCCGTTAGCGGAATTCTCGTATAACAACAGTTATCATGCGAGCATTGATCGACCTCCTTTTGAGATGTTATATGGCAGGAAGTGCAGGACCCCGATTTGTTGGGGCGAGGTCGGTCAGCGAGTCATAGGGAGCACCGAAGTGGTGCTCAAGACGACTGAGTTGATCCAGCAGGTCCGTAGTAGGCTGCAGACTGCGCAGAGTCGGCAGAAGAGCTACGCCGACAGGAGGCGTTCGGACTTGGAGTTCCAGGGGGAGATATGGTTCTTCTGAAAGTCTCACCTTGGAAAGGTGTCATCAGGTTCCGGAAGAGGGGCAAATTGGGCCCCAGATTTATTTGGTCCTTTCAGGGTTTTGGCCCGGGTGGGTTGGGTTGCTTATCGATTGGATCTTCCCGAGGAGATTAGTCAGATACACAACACCTTCCACGTGTCGCAGTTAAGGAAGTGTTTGGTGGATGAGACAGCAGTCGTTCCCCTAGAGGACATTCAGGTTGATAGCGGCCTGAATTATATTGAAAGGCCGGTCGCGATTCTGGAACGGAAGATCAAGACCTTGAGGAACAAGGTAATTCAGTTAGTGAAGGTGCAGTGGCAGCACCAGAAGGGGTCTGAATGGACGTGGGAGGCTGAGGAGGAGATGAGAGCGCACTACCCGGAGATATTTGCAGATCCAGCCGAAGCAGACTTCGAGGACGAAGTCTGAGACAAGTGGGGGAGAATTGTAACGACCCGTTCCCGGTATGTTAATTCATTGGTAATTGTTGTAAGTTTTGCAAGAGGGACTCGGCGAGTTCATAGCCTGACTCGCCGAGTAGGGTCGCGACTTCGAGCACGCGTGAGCCGGGGACTCGGCGAGTCCATATCCCTGACTCGGCGAGTCCATCCGTCTGGGTGAAACCCTAAATCCCCGGGTTGCCCACTATTTAAGTCACCTTATAGCCCCATTCTCGCCTCCCTCACCCTGAGAACACTGTGAGAAAGAACCCTAATCCACCCTTGTATGAGCTAAGTGTTTTGTGCCATTTTGTGAAGGTTTGAAGAAGGAGAAGAAGAAAGGAGCAAGGAGAAGAGGTGTAGTGCAAAGATCCAAGGGCAAATCTGAGTTATTTGAGGTATTTTCGGATTTCCCCTCTTGTTATATGCTTTAAACCTCCATTAGAGCTCTCCTAGGATCTAGTTGATGCTTGTTCCAAGCCTTATGTTTGCATGAATGCCTTAATAAGTCGAGATATCTTTAGATCTGAATGATTGGGTGTTGTAGAGCCCAGATCTACTGCCTTTTTGGAGTTACTTTGCATATTAACCATAGATCTACCCATTTTGTGCATCTTTTAGCCTTATTTCCCTTATTCATGAGGTTGTACACGTAAAGTTGGAAACTTTACGTGGTAAATCAGCTTATTGGACTCAGATCTATCAATGGTATGTGTTGGATTCAAGCAAAATCGAGTAAAAATCAGTTGCATGGCGGCAACTCGGCGAGTCGGGAAGAACGACTCGGCGAGTTGGGTCGCGAGTTCCCGATTCCTTCATTTTTATCAGTGTCGAGTGGATCCAGTGAGTTAGAGAGTGGACTCAGCGAGTTGAGAGTAGACTCAGTGATGGAGGGACTCGGCGAGTTGTTCATACAACTCGGCGAGTCCAAGGCAATCTTCTTAAGATCAAGAACAACTCGTCGAGTTTGTTCATACGGCTCGGCGAGTCGGATGAAGATTGTCTGAGTTCTTGGATCAAGTGGGTACTCGTCGAGTCGATGCCACACTCGACGAGTAGCAGCGTGTAGAACTAAGAAGTGAGAGTAGGACTTGGCGAGTTGGGCGGCCCAACTCGGCGAGTCAGCCCAAAAGAGAGTTGACTTTGACCAAGGGTAAAAGAGTCATTTTACCCCAAGCGCAATATTTAGTATTTGATTGAGTGTGTTTATGGACTTGTAGCCGAGGAGATTCAGGAGCAGCAGCCGTTAGCTTCCCGAGCCACACACTCAGCAGCCAGCTTACGAGGTGAGTTTCCTTCCAGTAGGAACGGGTCTAAGGCCACAATGCCGGCCCGTTCAGTTAGCAGTAGTTTCCGGATTTAGGTCCGATGCAGTAGCTAGTATGTTTGATGCCTTCGTGGCTCGAACAGGATTTGTGTGCTATGTTTTATGCGTTAAGTGTTATGTGTTCCGGGCTACGGCCCGATGTAGTATGCCGTATATGTGTTCATGCTAGTTGATGTGTTATGCTATGCCATGTTCAGTCAGTCAGTTCCGGACTTCGGTCCGATGCAGGGGACAAGGTCCCAGTCGGTTCCGGACTTCGGTCCGATGCAGTTAGTTTCGGACTTCGGTCCGATGCAGGGGACAAGGTCCCAGTTAGTTCCGGACTTCGGTCCGATGCAGTTAGTTCCGGACTTCGGTCCGATGCAGGGGACAAGGTCCCAGTCAGTTCCGGACTTCGGTCCGATGCAGTTTCCGGGCTTCGGCCCAATATGTGTTTATATGTTATTTTATGGTATTGTGGTAGTTTGGGGGAGCTCACTAAGCTTCGTGCTTACAGTTTCAGTTTTGGTTTCAGGTACTTCCGCAAGCAAAGGGAAGAGCTTAGGGTGATAGCATCGCACACACCACAGCTTAGCTTTTATCCTGGGGATGGTTTTAGTTGTTTTGGATTTGATATAGTATGATACAGTTTTCCGCACAGTATTTTATTATGATTTGGGATACATCGCGTATGTTTTTTTTATGTTATGATACTCATATTATGGTTTTGATTATATTGAAAAACAAAATTTTTGGGTCGTTTTAATGTACACTCTGACTTCTTCCAACATTGATATAATAGGTTTTTTCCTGGCCTCTACAATTGCTGCATTAAAAGATTATGATATTCCATTTTCCACAGCATCACAACACCTATCAAGCTCAAAAAATGCCTTGCACCATGTCTTTGGGTCTCTTTCCATTAGGTGATCATAAGCATGTGTGGACATCGCATTGATTTCCCTCATATAAGATCGGAAAGCTGACTCGGTTGTGGGCTTTGCAGCTCTCCAGAATAACTTCCTAAACTCAACACCTGTGTATTTCTTCTTAAAGTTAGCATAGACGTGTCTAGCACATTGCCTATGCTCACATGCTGGTGCTCTTTCTTTAACAGCTTCTACCAAAACCTGCCATATGAAAATATTAACATTAAATATAAAATAACATATAAATAAACATATAAAGCACTAAGTTATGTATTTATAAGAACAAACCTTATGCTGGTCAGAAATAATGGTAAGACCTCTGCCATCTCCCATCCCAATGTCCTCAAGTAGCAGATCTAAGAACCATTTCCAAGTTTCCTTGTTTTCTACTGACACTACAGCCCATGCCAACGGGTACATTTGGTTGTTGGAGTCCCTACCAACAACTGCTAATAGCTCACCTCTACAAATACCCTTCAAAAAACATCCATCAACACCAATCACCCTCCTGCATCCTTCAATCCAACCATCTTTCACACCCTTAAGGCAGACATACATTCTTTTAAAGTAAGCTGTAGAATCAGGCATAGGATTCACTTCTATTGAGACTGTTGAACCCGGATTAGACCTCAATAACTCCGCTCCATAATCCCACAACTTTTCATAATGTCCCACCAAGCTACCTGAAATTTCATCTAGTGCAAAACTCTTGGCATTTCTACATTGCTAAACACTTACATGCAAACCAAAATTTTTCTTAACTAATGCAACCATGTTCCTGTAGCTGATGCGGGGCTTTTCCAAAATGTCATTCGTTAACATTTTACCAATCCACCTGTATGTCACAATAGACCCCAAATTAACTTGCCTGCAACAGTTATGTTCGTCAATTAGCGATTTGATCTGGAATGAATCTTCACTACTCATTGGAGTAGCCCATAGTCTAAAAGGGCAAGCTGCCTTCCCTTCTTTATTTTTACAGCACCTCACTAACAATCTAGTTGAGTCATTTTTTTCGTACCACAATGCATACCCTTTAAAGACAACATAATTTGTTAACATTTGCTTGAGTTCATATCTGTCAGAGAATCTCATGCCTAATACAGGTACCATTGTGTCCCACTTCTGGTCGGGATCATGAATAAGAAAGTGGTGGACCTCATCATCAACTTCCTCATCTACCCCTCCTTTTGGAATAAGATTTTTCTTGGATAAAAACGGATCAACAGATTTAGGAATTTCTATAACCTCATCATCAACTTCATGGTCTACCGATATATCATCTGACATCACCAAGTCCACATCATCAGAAGATGGATCACTATCACCGTACACTCCATCTTCGGCTATCTCTTCTTCAATCCATTGCATAAGTGGCTCATGGTCGTGATCAATGTAGATACTGATTCTTCTCCCATTTTTATATCCAGCATCAAGAAACCTTACATAATCATCTTCATCTCTCAGCTCCCTCAACCCATCTACTAAGGCCCGATTTGGAAGACAGTAGTACATATCATGACACATACCCTTCGTCAGATTACGGATGTAGATTTTGAAGTCCTTAAACTCCATATTTCGTAAGTCTACCTCTGTGACAGAAGTCTTATCAGGATTGAAGTACATCAAGGGCTTAGGAACAAACACTCCTTTATGGAAAACATCTATACTCAATGCACCATCTGTTGAGAACGACATTCTTGTTTTAACGGCCAAAGTCAACTACAAAGGTCATTGTTAATGATTAGCAAGTAACATAATCATATAAGATAAATAAAGGTTGAACATATGACTAATTAAAACAATAAAATTTCCAAGAATGTTCAACACAGTTCAAAAGTATGTGGACTGATTTAGGGTTTGTTACCCCTGATTTAGGGTAAGTTACCCATGAGAATAAGTGATGGTCTGATTTTTATCAATCAACGATGAGTCTACAAACCTCCATTCTATATCCAACGTTCGATTGATTTAGAGGGGTTGGGGTATCGAAGCCAGTGTTTGAAACACAAAAAGAGACACAAGAAAAGAAAAATCGTTTGCTAAAAGAGGGAATGTTAAGAGTATAACTTACATGAACATATCAGACTTCAGAATTTCTTGAAGGATATTTGATCGATCGAGCCCTAGAAGAATCGCCTTCCCGGTCTTCGTGTTGTTGAGAGAGAAGGGTAAAACCCACATATATGTTAAACGATCGTATACTCCATGTCATTTCCCTTTTTTTTTTTTTTTTTAAACGGTTGAATAAGAGAGGTAACCTACGCCTGCCGGTTACCATAGGTAACATTTGAACAAACAGTATATTTTATTGGTATTTTTTATACAATATTGTTATTTGAATGATATTTTTTGAACAACGACAAACTTAGATGGTTTTTTTTGAATATTTGTGAAACTTTCTTACCCTTATAAGTCATTTTCCCTTGCACAAATTGTAACTTGAGCACTGCACCATCACATACGCCTACTATATATTTATATACCTAATTAAATGCACATTTGCCTTTAACTTTTTATTTATGTTCTCTTGAAATAGTTTGGCCCGGGGGAAATAATTTTTTTTTTCACTACAGTTATAAAGAAACAAAAATAATCTGAACATGATTAATTTTTTTCTTTATGATGATCCTGGCCAATTTGTAAACAGTACGCTTATCCCTCCTATTGAAAAGATAATAATAATAATAATAATAATAATAAATCATGTACAAAGAAAGAATCCTGTAGAATTGATTCTTATATTTATATTAATTAACTTTGTCACTGGAGGCGCATGAATTAATTTAAAGTTCACTTAAAAATTCGATTAAAATATTCAGTAGTGATCTCAAAGCAAACATCTTGTCGTTACAACTAAGTTGAACTTAGTAAGACCAAGATAGTGGGTTTAACCTTGTGTATATATAGTTTTTTTTGATTAAAATACTCGACAAGTTAAATTTGTTAAAAGAAACGGATCGAATATTGTACACCATGCATTAGAAAATATCAGTAATATAATTTAAGAATTAAGAGTGCCCGGATCGACTTAATTATAAGAGCATTGGGTGTGGGCAACAGAGTGCAACACCATCTCACATGCCACATAAGCAAGTGGTGTTATAACACCAAGTGGGAAATGGGCAACAAGATGCAACATCAAAGAAAAAAAAGAAAAAAGAAAAAAAAAAAGACAAAAAGTTGGTATTCCTCCCGTTTCAATTCGTCATAACGCCAACGAGATTTGCCATGACAAGATGCAACAAGTTGGGGGCGGTGTTCCCCGTGTCATGACGCCGTTGAGGGGTGCCACCTCACCCCCCATTGCATCTCGTTAGACCCATACCGCATACCGCATAGTCTAAAGTGTATATGACAATTAAAGCTGCCATCGCATGCCTTAGTAACCAAGCTAGTCAGTCTAGCATTCACCAAAATGAATCGGAATTATGAAGCACAAAAAGTGACCTTAATATATATATATATATATATATATATATATATATATATATATATATATATATATATATATATATATATATATATATATGCAATAATTAAATTGTTTGGCGTTTGGTAAAAGACAAGCAGCTAGGTTTATATAATTGACGTCACAGGCCATTCCTATCTACAAAAGACCGGGATCGATTAATAAAGTAAAAACTAAGGTCTTCCATGCTAGTGCTAGCTATATATACACTGGAAACAAGGTACGTATTAATTAATGCTTGGATCTTTGATATATATAACTAAAAGACGATCGAAGATGCATGATGAATGAGTGACGAATTAAGTGTTGCTTGTGGATAGCATATCCTGATCAAGAAGACCTGCAGCTAGCTGCTCCTTGGTCTATAGTTTCAGCATAGCTATAGATACAGAGCTAGCTAATTATAGGTGGTGGGATTGATGATGATGGTGTTGTTGAGATGATGATTAAAGGATGGACTTTTAAGAGTAGGTGCAGCACAAGGGCTTGGATGGATGTGTTGACCTTCGTAAGTGGTAACAACGAAGGAGGGATCACCCATACACCTCTCCACTCTCTTCTTCACATTACAAGATGCACTTGTGCACCTGTAGTAGCTCCTGCAATTAATTACAAGACAAACTTATATACATGTTGAATATTGAATCTAATGAATCTAATGAAGAAAGAAAGAAAGCAGTAGTGCATATATGGCCAATTGGCCATGTATGTATGTACCTCGGGAAAGGGCTATTTTTGACAGCTTTCTGGCCGTACTTGCGCCATCTGTAGCCATCATCCAGATGATCAATCTCAGTCCTCGTCATGAATGCAAATCTTGCTTCTCTCTCTTTCTTCTTCTTTAATGTCTTTCTCTCATCATCTGCACCCACCTTTGTTCTCTTCGATTCCATGCACCTGTAATATATATATATATATATATATATATATATATATATATATATATATATATATATATATATTAATTTATTACATAATCATTAATCCTAGCTATATGTATGTATACATGCATTTTTAAATATTTCATTTGATTTCATTTCTTAATATTAACTACCTACATAAACTTGTGGTTGTAGTTTAGTGGTAAGAATTCCACGTTGTGGCCGAGGAGACCTGGGCTCGAATCCCAGCAGCCACAATATATCAATTTTACCAATCTTTTTTTTATAATACATACATACGTAAGATCCATTTTTCATTTCACTATAGTTTAATAACTTTACATAATTACATTTGTCTTAAATACTATTATTTTATAAACAGTTTAATTTAATTAAACTTACCATCTAAGAATACAGGAGCTGGCAGCGAATTTCTCACGACAGTAGAATGTTACTAAGAAAACCTATTTTTGTAATAATCTTTTTTTTTTTAAATTAAAAATGGATACTAGATTACACTTAGGTTAGAGAAGTAGTTATAAACTTACTGTTTCAGGGGTTTGTGTAGTCGTTGATCAACAGTAGCAGCAGCAGGTGAGGAGAGGGAAGAAGAATTCGGTGATGAAATTGAAGGGTGCACATTTAACACCACCGATATCGATGATTCTTCTCCAGCAACCTCATCAACAGTTACATCCTCCTCCTTGTAATGATCATGATCATGTTGGTTCGAATGAGGATCATGAGCTGACGATGATGATGGTGGTGATGGCAGCTGATGGTCATGGTGGTACATCATCATCATATTATTAATGTCAAAGACGGAAGAAGAAGAAGAAGGAGATGAATAGTTATGATCATGAAGACCACCCTGCAATAACTCCATGAACCCTAAGGAAGTCTTTTGCTCGGACCCAAAAGCAGTCTGATCCAGTACTGGTAATGATGAAAACGGGTCAGAAGGAATATCCATATCCATGTGCATATGAGGAGGATACGGATTATTCTGATTCTCCATTTTGATCATCATCATCATCATCAACTCTTTGGTGTCCATGGCTTCTAGTTCCATCTGTAATTAACAGGACCTTTGCTCACTCTTATAATGTTGTGTGCTAATCAATCAATTTCGTCGAAGAGATCGATCTAGCTAGCTATGAATATCAATCTCAATCAACAGAGGGAAGGGTTTCGGTGGTAGTAGTATAGTAATAAGGAGGAATTGACGGAGGCTTGGGGTGACAGGTTGACCGGAAATAGGCGGTGAATGATGGTACGGATGACAGAGAGGAACCGGTGACCGTATTAAATGCGACCAATGACTCTGACTCACAGATAGATAAGAAAGAGGGAAGGGGTGGTAACTTGTAGCTCTATCTAACCGACCACCGTGGTCAATTTTCGTTTTGTCTTTTAATGGAAACTATCGTCTTTGGTCCCTATACTATTATCTTTATTTAATGCAAAAACAAATATTTCTTTTTTTGTTTTTTCTGTATCTTTCTGGAAGATGTATTACACGATACACCTTTATTTCTTTTTCAAAATTATGTTTTATTTTGATTTTTTAAATCTAAAAAAACCTGTTTCAATATTAATTGTTAAGTGAATTATATATAGAGAAATAATCTGTATATAACAAATTTTTTTCTATATAAAATAATTTATGTTTTTATAAAATTTTAGATGGGATTTTCTAATATGTATAAAAAATATTAATTAATCATAATTATTACCATAATTAAATATTAAACACATTAATTATAAAAAATATTACCATAATTAAATATAAAATTCATTAATAATCTCCATAATTAATGTATTTCACATTTAATTATGGTAATATTTTTTATAATTAATATTTTTTATATGTGAGGGCAGATATTAGAAAATCAGATTTTAAAATAATAACATTTTAAATAACAAATTGTTATATACAAATAAAAACTGTTATGTGTGAAGCTAACTTCTTTATAAAAAAAGTTCTAAATGAATAATCAAAGGAGTCATGTAAAGAAGGAGAATTGCAGGGAGGGTGTGAACGTAGATTTGGTTTTAAGGAGACTTGGGAATCTGTGCACAGGTTGTGGTAATATGTGCCGTCTACCACTTTTTCTTTTTTATTTATCTCTTTTCCAATATTTTATATTTCCCTCCCATGACCCATCTCTAATTAATTAAGATTTTAGAAAAATATACTTTTGTTGTTTAAGAATAAATATAAATACCATATTTAATATATTTTTACTAGTATTTATGCCATATTTCTTATATAAACAATAAATATAGTAAGTAAAACAAATCAGACAATCTTCGCTAAAAATAGTTATAAACTTTTAAATGTTAAAACTTGCAGAAAAATTAAAAACCGAATACTTTAGGAACTACATAAATTATTTTTTGGATTAAGATTTTGCAGTTTAATTATTAAACTTGTATTTGCAAACAATTCTTTTTCGGTTTTTTTTTTTTCAAATACTAAAAATTAAAAGCTATTAAAAAAATCATGCATAGCATTTCGTAAATCACCTTAAAAACAAAAGACAACGTTTCAAGTTTCAATCCCCATTTCGTCTCGAAGATGCATTGATATCTACGTTATTTTATGAATTATAAAGTTTTAAGTAAATAACAGTTTTAGTCTTATATGGTTTATATCTATCTGCATTTTTAATACAAAATTTGAATTTTGACACGACTCGTTATATAGTTTACAAAACTTGCACTTGTCGTCCATAAAGTTGTTACCGCTCCCAATAAATACACATAAAATGATTTATTTTTTTGGACTAAAATCGACAAAATTTATGTATTTCAACGAGTAATTCTGAATATTTTGGGAAAACTTATAAAACCTTAAATCTAATTTAACAATTATCGACTTCTTTGCCACTCTCTCTATGCATCTCCATCGCCCTACCTACCCTCATCCATTTTTTTTTTGTATCGGGTGATACCACCTTCTTCGCCAACAACAATTAGCTTCAAGCCTCCAATACATTTGGCATCTCTCTCTCTCTCTCTCTCTCTCTCTCTCTCTCTCTCTCACACACACACACACACACATCACCTTAATAAGAAAATTGCCTGCAATTGTGGCGGAACCAAAACCCATCTCCTCCCGAGTCGCCACCGCCTTAACTACTGCCACCTCAACTCTTTACCTCTAGTTCCCTCCTTATTCATATCTAGTGGTCGACCTTGCTCACATCTATCATAACTCACATTCTCTCTGGTTGTCGCTTATCATATTTGCTCTTATGTTTCTCCATCTCTACCTTCAAAATCCATAAAATATGCCTCGTATTCTTCTCTATCTTCTTTCAAGACGATGACGAGGTGGTTGTCAAATTTACCTTGGCAACACATACAAGAAAAGACGGGCGGTTTTAGGTTTTTTTAGGAGATAGCAGATTTTGTGTTTACTTCAAGATTTTCTGTTTTGGAATCCGTAAAACATGTCAGCATCACCAACTTATTCATAATCTTAAAGTCACACTAGGATTTTTCTGATTTCTTCTCTCGGAGGATTCACATTTCCAATTTTAAAATGTAACATCCCGACTCCCAGGTATATCATTTAATTTATTTTATTTATTTTGAGAGGGCAACTCGCCGAGTAGAGAATATTATGGTTGCGTGATTTTTAGAGTCTACTTGACGAGTCTACGAACTCTGACTCGACGAGTAAGAGCTGAGTGAGAAAACCCTAATTTTCAGGGTTTGTGTCCTATTTAAAGGACCTTAAGCCCTCATTTCCGCCACTCTTGTCACCATAAGCTTCTGAGAGAAACCCTAATCGAGTTGTAGTCACTTGTGAGAGAATAAGAGGCTAAGATTTATATTTCTAGTGCATTTTGGAAGGAGATTGAGGAGCATCAAAGCCTTGGAATGAGAAGAGGCTTTTAGATCAAGTGTTTTTCTGTGCTAGCTTCAGTTTGGAGGTAAAAAGCTACCACCTTGAGCATTTATTTTGATAGATCTCATTCTATGGGGTTTTAGGACCTTTTCCTCCCTTATCTTGTGGTTTTTGTGTTGCTGGAGCTTGTCATGGAGTTGAGACTCTAAATCTGGACATATTGAGGTCCTATGAGCCCAAAGTTCCAAGCTTTATCAAACTTTGGGCAAGTCTCCATGCATGAAACCCTTTATGGGGTTTGTTTGGCATTTTGAGCCATATATTGTTGGATATCGTGTCTGAGTCCATAACTATATTTGATATGTACTTGACCCGACCCGTCATGGTCCATTTGGGTTGCACTTCACCCGAACAATTTATGGACAATCTTTTGAGAATAGTATAAGTTATGATTTATTAATATATTATAAGTTCTAATATATTAATATAAAATCATATTATTTAATTAGTATTGATCTATAATTAATTTAGAGATCAAAAGTATGACTAATTAAATATGGGCTCTTGTATTTATATTGTAACACTATAAATTTCAAAACAATTTTTCTTTTGAAAACGTATAATTCTCAATACATATTTCACAAAACGTCATCTATTAAAATAAAAAAAACATAGCTCCATGTTTAATAAAATGGTAATCCAGGATCCTCCTAACTTTTTCTCTGGTGTGTACAATCAAGTCGGTGTCGTCCCGCGATCCTGAGAAGAAAACCTGAAACACATAACACATGACACGGTAATCACGAAGCTTAGTGAGTTCCCCAAAATAACACATACAACACATATTAGCCACTCGAGGCTATAACTCTGTTTGACCCTCTGGTCAATGTGTCTCAGTGGGACCCTCAAGTCCCATAACTCTTTGGACCCTCTGGTCCTAACTCTGTGGACCTTCCGGTCCTAACTCTGTAAACTCTGAAACATACATAGCATAATCACATAGAAATAATGCAATGTATCACATCATATAAATAACATACAAAATACTCTGTCACATAACTCTATATACCACTCTAGGTAAAGTATAGTGAGAAGACTCATCTCGGATGAAAAATAGCTCCTATAATCACTGCTGCTATGCACCGGACTCTAACTCTATGCCAAACCCACAATAAATCTGAATTAGGAGCTAAGTCCAACCTCTCACATATTGGGTCTAAAGATAGACCACCTAACAGCCCATTAATGCCCTAAGCCCATTGGGCCCACCAAAGCCCAATAATAAATGGGCCCTCACACAGCCCAATTCCCAACCAAAAAGGCAAGTCCAAACCAAGGGCCCAAAGCACATACATACACTTCTCTAGTCCAAGACTTTATTACATAAGGTCTAAACTCCTGACCCAACACTCAAGGCCCAAAACGTAACTAAATATCCCACAGAAGGAGTTATGTAGGGCGTACCTCCTTGGTAGGCTCAGTGTACTCAAGCGCGCTTGGAACTGATTGGGGACCTCAACCTATTACGCCATGCGTTCTGAGACTTACACCCAATGTAAGTCCCAGATTTATCTTTTCTCTATTTTTGGTCTGAATAGGTTAAGACATGGGCTCATATTACAGATCTAGGCTCTCTACTGCCTCTTAAGGCATAAAGTCGGAACCTTTAAGCCTTTGCATGGCTATAAAGACCACCAACCTCTCCAAACTCTTAACCTCTTTCCTAATTAAGTCCTTAACTCAAGCTAGCCTTAATATTAACAACCAAGATTGGATTTTTATGAACTTACAACTCATAATACACTAAAATAAGGCAGATTCTAGCTTATGGAGGCCATTTCCTCATAAAGCCTCCATCTTGGGACCAAAAACCCTAAAAGTTGGTCCATCAAGCACAACACAAACATGATAAGGGAAAGCTATGAGCTTTTTACCTCTAGAAGAAGCTCCACCCTCTAAAGAACTTAGATCCAAACTTGTACTCCATCTTCTAGCCTCCACAGAGACCTCCTCTTCTTCTTCTCCATCACACAAGGCTCTTTCTAGCTCAAAACACTCATAAATCACTTTGGAACGATGAAGATGCTCTCTTAGGGTTTCTCTCTGTGAAATGGTGGCTGAGGATAAGGCCATAGCATCCCTTATATATTGCACAAGTCTCATTTAGGGTTTTACATCCGGGCCGACTACACCCAACGTAATCTTTGGTACGCCCACCGTACATAGCAGTGTCTGTGTCCAAAACCATCCCACGAGTATGCGGAGCGTACTCCTTAGTACACCCAATGTACTCGCCTTCCACACTCTTCTTTTATGGACTAAACTTGATAGCTTGGAAAAGAAGAAGGTTTAGATAGATACACCTAAATTCCCGGATGTTAAAATCTCCCCCACTTGACTTAGATTTCGCCCCCGAAATCGCTGCTTACAAACACAGATCGAACCCAAATAACCAAGAAGCACCACCGAAGGTCCTCAGACCATATGACAATCACTTCCAAGGATACTTGAT